GCACAGTTTCATAGCACTAGTTCCACAAGCAGATTGACGATGAAATATAGACGTGCACAAACTATTTGGTATAACGGGACAACTTTCATAAGAGCTGCATAACACAAATATCATCTTTACGACCCTTTTGTTCCATCTTCAGAATTCAAACATGGTTTTATCATCATTTGTTTACCTACGGAAATGCAAGTTCACGTTGCACGGAAAAGTTTGCCTCCTTTTGTGGATCCCGGTCTACTCCGCCTTGATGACCCGCGTTGTGGAGTGGTACAGACGGACGAAAATGACATCAGACTAACAACACCGCTGGACAGATGTGGTACAATACGCAGGTGAAATAGTGCTCGAATGCAAAGAAGTAGAGTCCTTTCCATATTATTAGACATCATTTATAAAACCCGGTGTTTGTGTCTCAAAACTAAAAACTTTTTTTTTCATCTTGTATTGGTTTTAGAACTTACGACGAGTCTGTTTCATTCCATAACAAAGTTGTGGCCGAGTCTGATATGGGAAGTAAGCGTTCTTTCCTAGAGTTTCCGTTCAGATGCTCCTACAAGAAACTTCCTTCATCCGAGGTAGAGAACTACCTTCAACCACTCTACTATCACGGGCAAGGTAATGGCGTTAATAAGTGATTGGAGCGCGTAAAATTGAATCTAGCTAGGGATATTTTTTTGACGATTAAAAGGTACCTTTTTTCCGAGTCCTAATTCGCTGGGGTTGCCTAGCTTTTATGATGTTTAAGTTTCTCGTTTTCAGGAGAAATTATAATGGTACCTGAAAATATTGAGATTTATCACTAGTCATATACTGACTTCAGTTTTCTTCCACAGTGATGGACTCCACCCTCAAGGATTACACAGGGTAACCAACGTCAGGCTGCGACTTAAGAGGAACGTCAAGTTCAAACCAAAAGCTTGGAAATGAACGATTAGTTTTTAACCTCTCATATGACATTACCCCTGATCTAAGCCTCATCCGTAGAGTCCTCTCATCGTCAAGATAGTGGCAGATCTAAACAGGCCAAATGCAAATAACATTAATCTCTTTTTATTGATATTCCCTCGCATGAGTCTCTTTTCCAAGCTTGCTCCAGTCCAATACCGAGAATACAAAGATCACACGTACATCCGATTATCAGAGAAAGGCAAGGGTCTATGTTCATTGTGGGCCCCCGCCCTGCATGGTGCCCCTTCCTTTTTGAGCAAGATCAATCGAAACTTGAACGACTCCCCTCCACCAAAAAAAAAAAAAAAAAAAAAAAGGCCCAACAGAAAACTCTGGAGCACTTTTGGATCTGCAACTAATATCCTAGATAGTGTAGATTGGCAATGGTTGACAATAAAAGCCTAGAGATGAGATTGGACTGTGTTAATGTCTGGCATTACGTTCTGTGTGGCGTTGAGTCCTTAGATAGACAACACTTCCGTTAGATGCTAGATCGCGCTATTTGAGCTGATTATTTTCATCTACAGCCATCCCAAAACATACAGAAAATTAAACTTTAATATTGAGAGGATATGATGATAAGTATTTTAGTATTTCACCGTTAAAACGGCACTTCGAAGCTAGCTAGTATTTGAAATAAATAGGGTCATTGAAGATGAAAGTTCTTTTTTAGTTAGCTGATAGAACAGACTGTTTTCAATCTATTTTGTGATGTGTATTACAAGTAATTGTTTGGTTATTTTTTAAACTTTCATTTCTTTAAACAATGTGCGGTTAATTAGGTTCCTAAAAGAAATGCGAGAAACGTTTGAGAGAAAATCCTGTTCAAGGTCGAAAAGCAGGCCCAAGATAATGACAAAATAACATTACTTACGTTTACTGGAAAAGGGTGTTTCCCAAATTTCCTCAGTCCTAAAAAAGCTGCCACGAACTCCATTAGCTTTAGGCAATGTATGGTCAGATTTATCAAAAAATAAAAGAATAATAATAATAATAATAATAATAATAATAATAATAAATGTCGCATGTCTGAAATGGTTAGTAATGTTTTCTCCTGTGATATCGTTCTCTTTTTTTGTTCAATTCCTTTCCCCCACTCCCTTCCCCTTACTCTTACTAGCTAGTTAAAAAGAACTTTTAACAGTCGTATTTCCAACGAAGTAGTCGTCTAGTTAGTCCGTGATTCCATCTTACTCTCTTTTCTCCTGACACGCTTTTGTATACATTTCAACTGTATACATGACATACAGATTCTAGTTTTGATATCCAAATAATTGATCAAGTTTCAAGTTTCGCTTTTTTTCCACCATGGTGGGCAGCCCACCGATTACTAATAAAAAATATCATGTTTATATTCCTTTTAATTTACAATTATCATTTCATATCAATTTTTAAGCGATAGTTTTTTACTGATTTGCATTGATTGATATTTGATTTACTTTCACAGAACTTTTGTTCTGAATTATTTATATAAAGTACTCAGTACATAGCTAGCGATCTAAATTGTGCAGACATTACCGCACAATTCACCATCAACACCAAATGTTCAACTTTCTTAAATGGAACCAGGATATTCACCTCAGGTTATTCATCATTTACGTTCGAAAAAAGCACTTATATATAATCATAGAATTAAATCATT